CTTAAGCATAGCTGAGAGAATTAGTGCAGGAAAGGAATCCTTTATGTAGCTGTTGTTAAAACAAACATACAAGCAGACCAAAAAAAATCTGTCAGCGACAGTCCTTGGCAAACAGAAGTAAGGGTAGCTACTGCATATACCAAATAAACAGTTAACACTACATTTGATATATAAATCACAGTCCGAATAACGTGTGCAAATTCGATTTAGAGCAAGAAGTGAGATGTTGTAACGTTCAGCAGGCACAGTAAGCCATTTTGAGGCACGCAGACCCACTGCCAGATGTAAGGCTAACTATTGGCTGCACGCTGACCATGTGCTTGAGCCATGCAGATCTGAAAACCCCTCCCAGAGCCAGATCTGCATTGCAGTCAAGGAAAGAACAAGATTTATTTTCCCTGCCTTACTCTCTTGCACAGCTACATAGGCAAGCAGGAAATTCACCTGCAGCTCCTCCCCTTAATAAAACATACCCAATAAAATCATTTAGCTAGTAGTACAGTTATTGATAACGAGTGTTTTTCAAATGTTAGTAACAAAGAATGAACACAAAGGTCAAGAATAATTACATGCTGTTCTTAAGAATTTGCATCTCAAGAACAGCAGATATTACCTGCTGTGTCCTCCATTTTTCTCTCTCTTTATCTTCAGCTCTTTTCCTCCTGTAAAGACAATATGAACTCATTAAAATTCATTCTAGAAAGCTTGTCTTTCTTACACTTTTGCACGCGATGATGATTTTTCACATATATCTTAGCACAGCATGAGGATACACCAGCATCTCAAACACAGCATATTAATTTTCATTTTACCTCAAGTTTTCAGCTGTGATTATTACAATAGGCTTAAAACTGTTGAGGAATGGTATTTTCCCCCTAGCAATACAAATGCACCTTTCTGTTTGATCTAAAGAATATATGTTTGCTCACCAAAAAAAGAAAAAAAAAATCCAGCAGAAACAAAGTACATTGCTTTTAAGATAGCCCTAAATTTACCCTAGAGCCTAATATAAATCAAGCAGCATAGACTATGTTAGGCATGCATTACTACAAGTAAGCTTCTTAAATGTGATTGTTGACACTTTAGCACAACACCCTTACACTGTGCCTTGGGCATAACTGTGCTAGAAATAGAATTACAAAGGTTCAGACAATAAATATAAACGTGTACAAAATTACAAAGCCAACCACGTTAAAATGGCACCTAAACAAGGCATCTTTCCTTCACTTTTAAGGTTTTATTGTTTGGTTGGTCCTCGTAATCATTCCAAAGGTGCACACCTTGTTTAATTTTTGACAGAAGATGTAAAACAAATAAAATTTTAAGAAAAATAGAGACAAAAACAAATAGAGAAAGCAGTTTATAGAATAACAGAGAGTCTGAATACATTCAGATTAATTAGGACCCAGAGAAGGGCAAAACAACTGGGAAAAAATGTTTAAGAAGCTGTATTAATTTCTACATCAATCCAAAATGCAGGATTATTTTCCATATTACATATCTGACTCATATATGAAATATTCATAGGAATAAATATTTTATCGCAGAAAGCATTAATCTCATGGTCCCAAGTGAAAATATACAAAGAGAAAGTAGTTTGAAAGTATTTTTAATCAAGCTCCTTGCTAATTGTTTTGATCTCTCTCCTGGATCACAGCCCTGAGATGCAGCTCTTGAGGAATACAAGTCATGTGAAAATGTCCAAAGGTCTCTGACAGATGGTGTCTAACGGGCTTGGTTGCAGGAGTTTGGTGTTATTTGCCCAGGAGCTTGCTGGAGATTACGAAGGCTCAGTCAGGAGAGCAGACACGCATGTGTGCTTTAGCTCCAGGCAAACTAGGTCTCAGACCCACACGTTACTTCCAACTCACTTTTGTCATTTATTAACTACAGGAAACTAAATTCAAGCAACTTACATATCTATCTGCATTCTGTGACTTCCATGGGAAAAAACGTAAAGAGAAAGGTGAAAGACTATCTCAAACCACTGCTACTACACTGCCACTGAGTCCTCCAGGGACTGCCAGAGCTTTGGGGCGTTGGACATGTGAGCTGGCACAGCCTGGAGTGGAAAAAGCCTTATAGAACAACTGCTGTTTCTGGAGTGTATATGGAGTATTATTAATGTATGTAAATAGGCCGCTTTTATATGTATTTAGAGAATTATTACCAATTTCTGAAATAAAGCAAATACCAGAGCATAATCAGACTACTAATTCTGATGTCAATAATCAGGTTATTTGTTCTACGTATTTTTTAATTAATTAGGTAAAGAGTATTCATGTAGCCTGTGCTGCCTACGATTACAAGAACTGCCAAAATGCTCTCAGAATTTACATTAACACATCATCTTGTCTTTTTCAGTCCAGCAATTTAAACCCAGTGCAGAGATGAGAACAACTGTTTTTAGCTGAAGGAGAGGAGGAGCTGCCCTGCTTGCAGAATAGCCAAGTGTTGATGTCACACCTAACCATGTTTAAATACCCCATATTTCTCCAATCCAGAAAAAAAAGAACTGAATGTTAAATTTTTGTTCCAAAACTCATACGAATATTTTACTATGCAGCACTCAGGCCTATTCTTGTCAAAAATTGTCTCCTTTTCAATGTACAAAATTTAAATAAATTTAGACTGACTACATTTGCAGAACTACCACCACAATGCTATCATTTAATTTATAATAACCTCATTTGTTTCTGCTATTTAAGAGGCATATGAAAAACATCACTGGTTTGGTGAATGAATTCCATTAACAGTACTATCCAGGAGATCAGAATTCACAGCCATTTTTGAAGTCACATTTCCAATCTCTGTGTAACAACATTAAAAAACAGATAAGTTTGGGGGTAAGATTTCTGTACTCAAAGATCCACTCCACAATCTAAAACCACATAAGAGCCAAGTGAAAATAAACAAACAAATAAACGAAAATGACATGAGAAACCAGAATTTCAGCCACAGAAATAGATAACATTCAAAAATCTTTCCCACATATACTGAAGCAGGTGCAAACTACTGTTCCTTAGGCTTATAAAGAAAGTACATTTGCAAAAACTGCTAGGAAAAAAAAAAAGCATGTTAATCATCTGCATGGATAATCAGAGCTGCTTCTAATATATAATATAATACTACATAATATGAAATTACTTACAATGATGCCACCACATCAATCAGAATAGTTACAAGTGTATTAAACGGTACATTTTCTCGTAAGGAATTAATGTGCAATCTGAAATGTGAAGCAATGTTCTTCTGGGTAACAACCAACCTCAAAATGCTTTGCCAGCATAAGACTGTTTGACTGAAATCAAAAGTACAGCTTTTCATCCAAGACCTCATACTTGTGGATAATTTTCACGAGGAACTGTTAATCTTTTTATAACGTGTAACCCCCCTCACAGAATCACAGAATCAGAATCCTTAGAGTTGGAAGTGACCTTTAAAGGCCATCTAGCCCAGCTCCCCTGCACTGAACAGGGACACCACAGCTACATCAGGTTGCCCAGGGCCTGATCAAGCCTTGCCTTGAAAGTCTGCTAGGACAGAGCATCCCCCACATCCCTGGGTATCCTGTGCCAGTGCCTCACCACCCTCACTGTAGAAGAGTTTTTCCATATATCCAATTTAATTCAACGCTTTAATCTTGAAACCATTTCCCCTTATTCTATCACCACAGACCCTGATAAAGAGTCTGTAGCTCCCCTTTATATAATGAAAGGCCACTATCAGGTCACCTCACAGCCTTCTTTTTTCCAGCCTGAGCAGCCCCAGCTCTCTTAGGCTGCCTTCACAGGTGTGGTATTCCACCCCTAAGCATCTCTTAGTTTGTCCTTTATGCCAGCATAGCGAGCACAGTAAATAAAATGACTACACTGCATACTAATTGATTATCTGTAGGGGAGGACAATCATGAATGCAGAATTCAGATGTGATCTACCTGTGGCTGTACAACCAGATCAGGCTGCAAAACAAACAGCTCCCTGTCTGACACAAAGTGGAAAACAAACAGTAATCAGACTAATGCAGGCATGCCTCAAACTGAGGCAGTTCCAGAATAACACAATAAAAATCTTCGTAATTCGTAAAACTTCGTAAAAAAGTATTTTGTGCCACGTATTCAGCCAGCGCTGCTGTTTGTTTTATGGCATTCAAGGGCAAAAGAACAAGCAATGTAAACGACACCTATATTTTCATTTGGGAAGAAAAAAAAAAACGTGCAATATGTTTGGGGAGAAGAAAGGAAGATAAGAAGCAAATGGGCTTAGCCACAGCACAAAGATGAGGCAGAGGCTACTGAGACACGCAGCAGGGTTACTTTGCAGGCAGTCGCCTCTCCTTACAGATTAAAATACAGCCCGTGCTCGGAACGCTTTTTTTCAACTTGGGTGCACAGCTGTGGTGAGAACATTTCCAAACCTATTGAACGTATCTCCCCACATTAAAGAAATCCATTTTAGTGGCATTATGACAGGCTGTGATACCTTACTTTTTTCCTTTATTTTTTTTTTCCCCTCGAGGAAATATAGGCTAAAGGTTAAACCACTAAAGATGAGCGTCCCAAATCAGAGCCCGGTGCTGTGACAGAGCACGTGTGAGCACAGCTCATCAAGGGACATTTCTGCGCTTTTTTTCCCGCCTCTGCATCACCTTCAACATGAGAACAAAACGCGGAGCAGCTCACCGCTGCCCGCGCGTGCTTTGGTACTCAACCTGAACCCACTCCCATTTGCCATAGGTGAGAACTCAACGGCTGCAGGACTTTCTCACAGCCCTTAGGCGTTACCTCTGGGATAAGAACGACGCGCGGAAATGCACCGCTTCGCTCGGAACGCCCAGAAGGTTTCATGCCGCTTCGCGCACGCGCTGATAAAGAGCGCGAATCACCGCAACCCCTCCCGCCCGGCCGCCTACTGAGAAAGCCGACCCGCCCCGTGACGGCTCCCGCCACCCCTCCCCCGCCCAGCCCGCACCCCGCGCAGCCAGCAGGGGCGGGCCGCCGTGTGCCCTTACGTGAGAGGAAGAGGCGGCGCCTGCCCGACGCTGCCAGTAACGGCTGTGCGCCGCGTCTCCACCCCTCAGCGGGCGGCGGTGAGTGCGCCAGGCCAGCGCCGGCGTGGGACCGAGCGGGGCGGGAAGGCGCCGAGCTGAACGCTGGCACGGTTATATCTTTTCTTATCGCCTTCTCTTCCCTCTCCCCGCCTTCCTTCTTCGGCCGATCCGCGCTCCTCACCCGCTGTCCCCCGTTCGGGCGGGAAAGGCCCGCACCGCGCGCGGCCTGAGGCTAGCAGCCTCGCGGGTGGGGGAAGGGCGGCGGGAAGAAAGCGCCGACGGCTGCCGCGCGCTCCTGCCGCGCGACGCTGCCGGCCCGCTTTCCCGCCACGTGACCTTTACCCCCCCCCTTTCTTCGGGCACCATGTTGGTGGGGCGAGGGCGGCGGGCGGGCTCACAAAATGGAGGTGATACCCGCCGCGCGGGGGGAGCGGGGCGGCCCGGCAGGATGGGGGCAGGGAACCGCCTCCATCTACCCCTCCCCGGAGCAGCGGGGGAACTCATAACACCGTCTGGGCGAGCGGGAACGCCGCGCTCGAGCACGGGGCGCGTAACGCTGCCTCTCGAGTTCCTTGCGGTTGCTTTTCCCCGCGTCGTGGCGCGGCGGCCGCAATGGCGGCGGGGGGCAGGAAGCGGGAGGCTGCGGGCGGGCCGCGCTTCCGCCCCTCGGCGCTCGGCCGCCATTTCGCTGCGCTGCAGAGCGCGGGGGGAGCGCAGCCTCCATTCTGTGCGCGGGGAGCGCCGAGAGCTTAGAGCTGAACTGAGGCGAGGGTGACGAGAAGTGAAAACCGTTGTTCTGCTCTCCCGCGTGGCTGAGACCCGCAGATGGGCGTTGTGGCGCTTTTCAATCGCTCTTCTTCTGGGCGGGAGCTTTTGGAAGCGGCGAGGCCGCTCGGTGTCCCGTCCTGCTCCTGGCTGAGGTGTAATGGTACACGGAGCTGCGCTTCTCCCTTGCCAGCCCTGCCATCCCGTGGATGTTTGTCACGTGCAGTGAGCGCTGTGGACAAGGGGCATAGTGCAGAGCAGCGGTGCAGGTCGCTGCCGTTACCCTTTCTCCACGCCCCCAGCTGTAAATACACACGACATCCATGGCATCCCGCCATGATCCTGGTGGGCAGCACAAAGGAGTGGTTCTGCACAAACCGTGCCCCACACTTTCCCAACTTGCATTCAAGTAAAGATCAGATCTAGCCTAGGGCGATGATCTGCACCTCGACCAGAGAACAGTGTACTGATGTCCTCTCCCGCTTTTCTTTCCACTCTCCCTTCAGAACATATATTTTTAGCTCAAGAGTTTCAAAGTATGATGAATAAAAAAGTGCAGCATTCTCTCTGGGCATTGTGCCCCCTTCCTGGCAAGCTGAAACCTCTGTAGGACTCAGAGCAGAGAAACCAGTAGCTCACACTAGTTTGTGTTACTGTGTTAAAAGCAGAAAAGAAACCTGATCCCTAAACACAATGGCTAAAAATAACTGTTTTCCATGTAGGCAATTGTTTTATTCCCTTGAACAGTTGTCAAAGGGAGCTATGATGAGTTCAAAGCATGCTTCAGTAAAGTTTGCTAAAATCTTGTGCGTTTTTTTCCCAGCAGATATGCCTGTTGGCATTGGGAAAACTACCAACACGCTTAGAACTGAAAATCTCTTAATTTGCTGCCTGAAGTCTTAGAGTTGGCAAGATATGTGGCATGCACACTAGGTCCAAATTTGTCTATTTGCAAATACATCGCAGTATATCTCTGTAGTGTTTTCTGAATAGAGAAGGAAATTTCCACCTTGAGAACGTCAGTTTTCCCTTGCTACAGTACTGCTTGTCTCTTCAATTATAGTTAAATTCAGTAGATAAAAATGTTCTGAATATTTTAAAACTGTTGATATTTCATTTATATTAATTATAAAAATTACTATTCACAGCTTCTTAAACTTTCTGTAAATTGGTGGGATTGAGGCTGTGCTTCAGCTCATGGTATTCATCAGTAATGCAATAATTCTCTTTTGCCCATCATCACTGTGAGCTATATGTTGGTTAGTTGGAGCCTCACTGGAGAAAGCAGCTGGCAAAATCAGAGAAATTTGATACTTTAGGTTACTTGAGAAAGTATCTAGGCTTTTCACGCATTTGGGATTTGAGAAGTTGAACAGCTCAGGACATTAGGGTACTAAGTATTTCAACTAAATCGACCAATTTGAAGGATTTCAAGACAGGTTTAACTGTAATTAGTATGCATGCCTTGATTTTACTTCCTAGAACTTTAAAGTTGTTAAGACATTAAATCATGATACTCATGATTTCACAGTTGGGTTCAATATTAAGATCTTAACTTAAAGCTTAGTTTGAATTTAAATGTAGAATTATAGTCAGAATGAAAATTATTTAATTGTAGTGTAACATTAATTAGGACCGACCTGCTTTTCCCTATGCAATATTTGCAGGAATAGCACTTTACAAACAGAGCAGATAAACTCAACATTTGAAAAGTTACAAACAATATACCTAATCTTGATGGCGTAGATTACTTGGAAGCAGCACAAGTGTGGTTTTACAGTAGCATATTATTTACGCAACTACTGTAATGAGTTTCAAGTTACATCTGAAGTAGTAATAAATTGCTGCTAAAGATAGAAGCGTAGTAAGAAAGCATGAGTAACTTAACGATCTTGGGGAAACTTGAAATTATAAAGGTTAAGGGGAATGTGATTATTTTTTGTTTCTTCGAATGCTTATGTAGAGATGCACTCACTGAGTTTGTCTAGTGAAGTGCTTTTTGTGATGATGTATAACTTCATTAACATTCATTGATACACATTGGGCACGTAAGTGTAGAGTGCAGAGTCGTAATGAAATACATTGTTTTCAAGGGAAGTAATGCAGATGACCAGTGCTGCAGATTCCTGAGGATCAGCTGTTGGAATTTCTGGTTATGCAAGAATAGAATCACTAAAGCATTCTTCCACTGGTGTTAGTGGAAAATATTTTTCAGCACAGAAACTATTTTGCATCCTTCAGTTTTTCAGTTTGTAGGACACTAGATTACTGACAGAGTAGGTTATGCATAAGATAATTTTAGTAAGCATTATTTGCAATATGTTTTTTACAATAAAAAAGACAGATTTAAAATCTGGAGTTGCAGGGTTTGATTGTTTAAGAACAAGACCTGTTCATGATAGTTATGTAAGAGACAGCATTTGAAATGAGTGATTCTCTGCAGAGAATCACCTATTTTTGCTTTATATTGCACCTGTTATTCCAACAGCTGTAAAACACCTTCATCTGGTAGCTGGTGTTCTTTTTGCAGCAACTCCCAGGTGACACAGACTGAGGGTTTTTACCCTTTGAAATGATTGCATTTTTTCTACAATTACCCTTTTCCATTTCCTCTCCTGTAAAGACAAACCTGTGCACTGCAGACAGAGAAGGCCCTGCTTCATCGGAGTTGGGGTGAGTACTGACTTATCCAACCTGTTTTCTAGGTTTCCTAGATCTAAAAGAAAGGCCGAGTTAGAGTACCCTTCCAAAATGGCTGCTATTAAGGAGGAGAGAGAGGTGGAAGATTACAAGAGAAAAGGAAGACGATCATCACAGGTGAGAGCATTCACTTTTTTAATTATAATAAAGTAGCTTTAAGGGGGAGAGGTTTAAAATTAGTAAAAGTAGAACTTAAATGGTTCTATCTGAGCATGAATTCAAAACTTTTTCTACCTTCTTCATCCTCGTAGTAGAATAATTGTAAAATGCTGTATGTTATTTTGAGCTTTAAGGGGTGGGATTTTAAGTATAGTGGGGAAGTTTTGCTTTTCTAGTTTTCTGTTATAACAAAGCTGATTAATGTATGCTTGCGGCTAAAGGTGTAATTTATTTTTTTTAAGAAACTCGTGCATCCTCAGAATATTGACAGGAGGAACTTGATTCTTTCCTATCTTCACGGTCTTGTTTTTAGTGGGAATGAAAACAGGTTCTTTTTTAAATAAAAATGGTTGCCTGTTAGTCACTGCAAATGAAAGTGAGGCTGTACTAAGTAAAAATAACTGTTTTCTTTTGCTTCTAGCAGAAATACCGTAGACTGAATAAGGTGCGTAGTATAGAGAAGATGGTGGGTCTGTTCTGGGAGGATGGGAGCTAGTTACGTTGGGGCAGGGTGTGGAAATGGGAGGGGGGTGACTCTCGATACCCTTCAGAATAATTTAAGATCAGCAATGAGGGTGTTAAATAATGCTTGTATGGCTTATCACTGAGACGTTTTTGGTTGTGTATTTTCATGTATTTGCCTTCTAACATTACTTTTCCAGGGAGCCTGAATAGTTTAGCTAGCTGAACCCATGTTTCTCTGGTGCTGATATGCCGCTGTCACGCTGAGAGGGAGGCAATACATCTTTTTTTTTTTTAAAAAAAACCTTTTCGCAGTTACATTTATCCAGTAGCATGTGGTTACTTTGTATCGAAGAGTAGCACATGAAGTCCTACTGCAGAGAACCTCACAGCTGTCTGCTGTTTCTGGACTTGAGATAGAATGTATCGCAGGTCCTCAGCTGCCTACAATGAGGCAGGAATGCACCTACAGGCTACTAAGTTTCTAGAGAAAATGTTTTGCTGAGGAAGTTGTCCACAGGCTTTCGGTCCAGAAGGCAGCCCAGGGTTGGGGAAAATCGCATTGTGCAGGTGTAGGTGCAGATGAGCTCATGTTAGCTCCCATGTAGAGGTGCAGTGCAGGGGAGGTTGCCATGTGAAAGAGAACTTGTAGAGCCACCGCAGCTACAGAGCACTGAGTGGGCAGAGACCTGCTGTGTGAAAGCTGGGATTCCTGTAAACTCGAGTCATGTATCTAGAGTGCTATTGGTAAAAATACTGTGGGATGTTAGCAAAACTTAGGATTTTTACAGGAATCGCAGAGTGCTGCTTGTTACCGTTCTTTCATCCAGGAAAGGTACAGGTAGACTGAGCCAAGTATTCGTGATTTCATGTGAGGTGTAAGAGTGTGTAATTTGATTTTGATCATGAAAGAACTGCGCGGAGAGATCCAGATGCCTTCCTGCCGCCCATCTGCCCTCAAGAAAAAAGCTGGCCTCTCACTGCTGTCTGCCTGCAGGGGCAGCCCAACCCCCACCCATCAGTCTGGGTGCTCGTGCCCGTGCTGCTGCAGTGCTGGGACGTGGCCGGGTGGCGTGACTGCGCCTGCGTGCTCCTGCTGTGCCTTGGCCCTGCCCCTCTGGCTCCATATTGAGTGGAGGAGACAGATCGCTCACAAAATGGAGGCGGCCTGCGCCGTGTAGGGCTTGCGCTTGAGGAGAAAGTAGGTCGTTACGGCAGGAAAGAGGACTCCCCGCCTCCTCGGAACACATTAATTTCTTAGAGAAAGCCCTTACACTGCTTAGGTGGAGAAATGAAGTTTGTTTCCCGATTGCTAACTGCAGGCAGGCTCGGCTCTGCCACCCCCACCCCCTCCCTGAAGGAGCTGCAAAATGGCGTGCGGGTCTGCAGTGCTGAGTGGGAGGGAGCTGCGGGAGCAGCACGGTGTTGAGGGGGAGGGGTGTCACATTTCCTACCCGTAGAGACTGCTATTGTGGCTAGGTCATAGCAGAAGGATTGAGAAATAGCGTCATGCATGACAGAACTGAATGCTGCGAACCCGAGACATACTTATCTCCTGTGAGAACAAAATGCCTGGAAAATAGCTCATAGCTGTGAGGTACTGCCTTCTATTTCTGTAGAGAATTCCTCTGACACGGATATATTCTGAGGATAATAATCTCTGGTGGAAGAGAGAACTGCAAGTGGTTTTTTATTTCCATGTGTAAGAGCGACTGTTCATTTTCATGGGATAAAAATAAACAAAAAAGGACTTTGATTTTCCTTTCTGGAGCAATCTGGAATTCTGTGATCTTCTGAGGTAGAAAAGATCTGAGTTACTATTTGGCAACTACATGGCTTTAAGTAGTCTTAGAGAACGATAAAAGTCTGGTTTTTGTGTTTCTGGATTTGGAGAAGTCTAAATTCATCAAAATAGTAAACTTAAGAGAACTTGTATTACGAGTGTTCAAAACACATAAAAATCCCAGCTTTAAAATAACCAGCTAAAAATTAAGTAGGTACAAAGAAATGCAGTTAGGAACAGAAAACAGTATTTCACTTACCCTAAAGCACCTTCTGTATGCAGTATGTTAACCCTTCAAGATTTTAAGTTTTCCTGTAATTGAAAGGGAGGTTTTTTAAATCATACTTTTGTAGGCTAGACCACTCAGTAGAAAAGAAGCTTTAACTTTAGCTAAGAGGCCATGGACTGCTGGTTATTTTATATAATATTCCAGTAGTAATGAAGTTGGTGCCTTAGACTAAAACTTGTTAATGAAAATGCTGGAGCCTGCTTTTGCTCTAAAGGATCTACGTCCCAGGTTGCTTCTCGTAATCGTAGGCGCAGTTTCCTGCAGTACAGCCCAACATCTGGAAAACAACGGACCTTTAAAGCAGTGTATAATTTTGAAATTGTCTTTTGCCAAGTATTGCTTCTTAGTATTAATTGCTCTGTAGAGTGGTTGTGTAGCACTTAAAGGAGTATAGGCTTTTGTGACCAACTCTTGCACTACCACGCTTCTTATTTAAACTGGCAGAAGCTAAAGCACTTCACTTACAAGCTTGAAGCAAGGCTGCTTCAATATTACAAGTCTGTGGCTAGTTTTATGTAGTTCATCTGTGAAGATTGTGCTGCTTCTAGTCAGCTTAGACCACTGCAACAGAAACAGTGAAGCCCACTGTGCGTTACTACCGCAGAATTGAAGTTGTGTGCTGGTGTAGCTTGCCAGCAGCATAGCCACCCAGCACCTTGCTGTGAAGTGTCTTGCACTTGTAAAGAGACCATATTGCAAAATAAGACTTCAATGTGATTACTTGTTAGTAGACTCCTTTGTCTTGGGATGAGAGAAAGTTGTAGATGATTTTTTACAAACTCCTTTCAGATGTGCAGAGCTGTTTCCTGCATAACTAAAATACTCTGTAACACTGAAAGAAAGCAGAAACATGAAGGCACTTATTTACAAGCCCACTTTATTTTGTCTTTGGAAGACTGGGCTTTGAAAATCAGCATGTATTAAAATGCGATTGATGACATGTAGATGATACCATCAAAAGCTTCAGTTTCTTTTACTATGGTACAAGTCTTACTTGACTTGTTTTCCCCATTCTTGGTTATTCATAATTCTTTTTTCTGTAAGACAAAAGAAAGCCACATACGTACTTCTACTTTTTTGCTGGCATGTGCTGAACTAATAGTTACCGAAGAACAAAATCTGAAATGTTAAGGAATTAAGAGTTGACAAATCTTCTTTCAAATGTGTGTGTTTTAAAAGGGTTTAAATACAAATGTTCCTGAAACACTAGGTGTTTAATTTGAACGATAACTTTTTTAATCACATTTGTATACTGCGATTCTAATTTTTTGATAGCTGCTTGCAGTTGTGCTTCATGAAGTGTTAGAGCTTCCCTTTATCTAGCAGTACTTCATTGCTAATCCCTATAGAACAACATGCAACTCCAGTACAGGATAGGCATAAAATGAATGCATGTCCATGGGGGAAGGAAAGAAGCAAGCAAGCTACTTACTGCATTGAGATCTTCTACTGTTGTTTGCATTTGAGCATTCTTGAGCTGTTAGCTGCCATTTTAATTAAAATCACACTTCATTAAGTGTTGAACTTAACTGTGCTGCTGTCTAAAATCATTAGAAGACATTATGTTAATGTGTTCGACCTATTTGTAGTTACATGCACAGATAAGTTTTAGTAATGCTGTGAAATTTTAATTCTGTTGCTTGTATTCAAAATATGTATTTTATTTTTTTTTTATTTTTGTAGGGCCATGAGCCTAAGGAGCCAGAGCAGTTGAGAAAGCTGTTCATTGGAGGTCTGAGCTTTGAAACAACAGATGATAGCTTGAGAGAGCACTTTGAAAAATGGGGCACACTCACGGACTGTGTGGTAAAGTGTCCAAAATTAGTTTGTGCTTTTGAAAGGACATAGGTTCTTAATCTAGTACAGAAATGCAGAGCACTCCCCTATGTTTTTAGGTGATGAGAGACCCACAAACAAAACGTTCCAGAGGCTTTGGCTTTGTTACTTACTCTTGTGTGGAAGAGGTGGATGCGGCCATGAGTGCTCGACCACATAAGGTTGATGGACGTGTGGTTGAACCAAAGAGAGCGGTTTCAAGGGAGGTAAGTTAGGGTTTTTGTTGAACATATGTCGTACTCTCTACCTACTTAAGAGGCTCAATGTAATTTTTGGTGTTGCAGGATTCTGTAAAGCCTGGGGCGCATCTCACAGTAAAGAAAATATTTGTTGGTGGCATTAAAGAAGACACAGAAGAATATAATTTACGGGAGTACTTTGAAAAATATGGCAAGATCGAAACGATAGAAGTCATGGAAGACAGGCAAAGTGGAAAGAAAAGAGGCTTCGCTTTTGTAACTTTTGATGATCATGATACAGTTGATAAAATTGTTGGTATGTAGTTCTTTAATGGGAAGTGACTTAGAGAATAGAAGTGCAGCTTAACCTCTCAAAAAAGCTGTTCGTAGAGTATAAGATATTGGCATGATTAACTACTTGGACTGTAGTAAGAAGCAAGGTAGACTTAACATTCCTTTGAAAAGTGTGCTCGTGCCTTATAGTAGCTTACTGTGAGTTGTACTGCACGCTGCTTTCAGTTATGTGGAATTACTCTAACTGTCCCATTTCATGTTTTTCTCTAGTTCAGAAATACCATACTATAAATGGTCATAACTGCGAAGTGAAAAAAGCACTCTCAAAACAAGAGATGCAGACTGCCAGCTCTCAGAGAGGTAAGTTTGGAGTTATGCAGGGTTATTGTACTTAACTGGTTTTCAATTAATGTAATTAAAGTAAAATACTTTGCAGGTCGTGGGGGTGGTTCCGGCAACTTCATGGGTCGTGGAAATTTTGGAGGTGGTGGAGGAAACTTTGGCCGAGGAGGCAACTTTGGTGGGAGAGGTAAATTACTGAGATGTTTCCAGAGCGTGATTTCTGGTGTGGTTGTGTCTGTTTTCCTGAACACGTGCTAAGTATTTAAGCCAACCACTTCGTCTGTTTTGTGTTCCAGGAGGCTATGGGGGTGGTGGTGGCGGTGGTGGGAGCAGAGGAAGCTTTGGGGGTGGTGACGGATACAATGGATTTGGTGATGGTAAGTGTACTGCTGCATCTCCGTGCCCTCCTCCCCCCTTCCCCTTCCAAAATTGGGCTGCTGTAAGTCTTACTTCTGTCTGCCTTGGAAGTTAATTCTGCTTTGGTCATGTTTCGTACATTGTAGTGCTGTGAAAAGTTCAGATTTGTCTCCCCTCCAAGATAACGGATGGGAAAAAAAAATACTTCCATGTCATGAGGTCATGCAGTAGCTTGTAGTTCATGATCAGTCATGACTGTGAACAATAAAAAGAAGTTTCTGGTGTCACTTGAGATAACTAAAAGCAGTGGCCATCAACTTTTTGGTCAACTGTAAGACTTGCTGATCACTGTCTTTTTCATGATGGATGAGCATCCAGAATACACCTGAAGAGAACTGTGCAAGTTTTCAAACAGCTGTGGTAATCTCGTTTTTATGGGGGAGGAGGGAATGAGAGACGTAGCACATAGTTAATGGCATCTTGATTCTGCAAGCAGATAAAATATTGACTTCTTTTGGACCAGTTTCACAGTTCACAATTAACTTCATTGGTATGACTGAGAACATTGAGTCTCTCATACTCTCTTGGTGACTTGAATTATTACTATCTTTTTAAAGGCATCTAGTAACTTTTAACACAAGTTTAAATAAAGCTGTGTCTAGATGAAGCATGTCTGTGGCCTGCAGGCTGCACGTGACCAGGGACAGCTAGGAATTAGCCCTGCCCCTTGCTGCTGTGCCAGCATGGCAGCAGCTCTTTGCTGCTTAGTAGTTTGCCCTGGCCGTGGGCGCGCATCCATCACTCAGCAACAGCCAGAACATCAACCCTGGACAGTTACTCATCAGTCACTGCAGCCCAGGCAAGCCAAGTGGTTGCACACTGATGATCTAGGTAAAATCTGTGAACTTTTGATGGCTCTTGTCTGCTGAGTAATCTCAGCTCAGAGGAATAAAGAGTGGCAGCAGCGACGGCTGCTTATGCAAAGAATGTGATGTGTGATAGTGGAAGTTAGCTGAATTAAAAAAAAATAATAATAATAATGATTTTTTTGTTTAGATTAAATAGTTTGGTTAAATGATTCAACAGTGATGATGAACACAGTGTGGCGGGAAACATTGTGGGAGATTTGTGTGTTTGTGTGACTTCAGCTTTCTTTAGCAGACTTAACAGGATTTTGCTTTGATGTGCTTAGGTTTTCTCTTCTTGTATTCAAAGGTGGCAACTATGGAGGTGGTCCTGGCTATGGCAGCAGAGGGGGTTATGGTGGTGGTGGAGGACCAGGATATGGAAACCCAGGTGGTGGATATGGAGGTGGAGGAGGAGGATACGATGGCTACAATGAAGGAGGAAATTTTGGAGGTGGTAAGATGCTGGCTCAAATTAGCTGACCCTTTTTTCCTTCAGATCTGAGTAGCAGAGTGCAGAATTGCTGTGTTACACGATTAAAATTCTCTTCCTTCTGGATCCACTTGGATTAAATTATGCAACGCTAATTTGCTTGGAACTTATTTTTCAAAAAGCAGCTGCTGTGAACGTGTGGTGGTGGAGTAGGAGAATTTCAGTTGTTATCCATTTGAAATATGCTGTTGTGTATCAGTTTGTACCACGTAGATCTTGTCCTCCTTTGTAGGGACTAAATGTCTTAAGTTCATGGAAGCTTTCTTTATTGTCTGGTTGTGAAATGAGGTTCCTCAATTATTTTTATAAAAGCAGTTCTTTTACCTATTTTGTCTTTTGAAGTAACCAGGAACCACGTTATTACATGGCTATTGTACAGCATTAGCAAGTGTGAAACCTTGATGAGTACGTAATGGCATGGAAGACAGTAAATACAAGTCTAGCTGTGTCCTGTTAAATCAGTTGAGCTATGTTCTTATTCTGTGTTCCCAGTGTTAATATCTTTGCAGGAGTTTCAAAACGATCTGGTTAACTTCTAAATTTATAATTCTGTAGAGGCCTTTAAGGATATGTTTCTTGCCAGGATATACCACAAGCACTAAGACATTCTTTAATAGAATTTGGGGGGAAGAAGCAGTAAGTGCGTGCAAGGACCTAGTGCGAGTTTAGGGGGTTAAGCTGCAAAATCTACTGCACACTTATTAATACCTTCTGGTGTATATAGGTGCCCATTACAGTTTTATCACTTCTTACAGCAAATAAAAATTACTCTTGGCTTGTAGTTGATGTGATTGTCATGTATAGAGCACTGAACAGTGGAAGAATGATGGTGAAACCAGATGTTTTTCTGAGCTGGGAGGCATTAACTTTGGCCTTCGGTGTTAATTTCAAATTGCTACTCAAATCTGTTTGAACTTTATAAGATAGACTGTGCTATTTTTTATCTTCAGTGATGGAACAACTTCTAATCTTTGGAATGCTAAAGGTTTTGCTGTCATTTGTGCATTGCAGGTAGAAGTAGCATGCTCAATGCTCGCAAGTCTATTTTAAATTGTTTTAAATAGCTGTTGCAATTTATGCTGAACGTCACAGTTTCACAAACTTCATGAATTTATTTCAGGTAATTATGGTGGCAGTGGAAACTACAATGACTTTGGTAACTACAGTGGACAGCAGCAGTCCAATTACGGTCCCATGAAAGGTGGTGGCAGCTTTGGTGGTAGAAGTTCAGGCAGTCCCTATGGTGGTAAATATATTTCTGCACAAAAAACCCTTTGTTTAAGCTTGCTTGGTATTTCTTATGTTTCAATATGGACTGGGTTTTGTTTTTTGTGCAGGTGGTTATGGATCTGGAAGTGGAAGTGGGGGCTATGGTGGTAGAAGATTCTAAAAATGCTACCAGAAAAAGGGTAGGTGTAATGCATATTTATAATGATGATGAATAATGTACAACTGTTCACTGAGAGTAATAATTTTCTTATCCTGTATTCAACAGGCTACAGTTCTTAGCAGGAGAGAGAGCGAGGAGTTGTCAGGAAAGCTGCAGGTTACTTTGAGACAGTCGTCCCAAATGCATTAGAGGAACTGTAAAATCTGCCACAGAAGGAACGATGATCCATAGTCAGAAAAGTTACTGCAGCTTAAACAGGAAACCCTTCTTGTTCAGGACTGTCATAGCCACAGTTTGCAAAAAGTGCAGCTATTGATTAATGCAATGTAGTGTCGATTAGATGTACATTCCTGAGGTCTTTATCTGTTGTAGCTTTGTCTTTCTTTTTTCTTTTTATTTTCCCATTACATCAGGTATATTGCCCTGTAAATTGTGGTAGTGGTACCAGGAATAAACAAATTAAGGAATTTTTAACTTTTCAATATTTGTGTAGTTCAGTTCTTCCACATTTGGTACAGAGAACTCTATAACAGAAATAAAATGTAGTTTAGGGTGTTTCCTTGTTAGTAGAGAAGATTAATGCATTTCTCAATTACTATTTTGTATTAATTTAAAGTTAACAATAGAAACACCTATTGATTTGCAGTCTTAAGGGGTCTAGTCTCAGTGTATATATGTAACTGTCATTGATAAGAGTTACATAGGCATACAGAGGGAGAACATCTGTATGTTGCATTATAGTTTGTTTAGATGTATAACTAGGATTGAGTTATTCAAATTAGTGTTTGTGAATTATAGAACTAAGCTTTACCTTCAAATGAAAATTTCAAATTACTTTTTGGTTTGTGCATATTTTTTTAATTTGTAGTTCTGTATTAGTAGTAGCGCTTCAAGAAAATAAGGCATGATAAATATTTTAACAAGACCAACTTTAGTCACATTCAAGCTGTCTCCAGTCTCATTTGAGATGTATAAGGGATAACTGCAGTTGCTGAAGTTCTGGGTGAAGAGAAAAAGAAACTTGCTTTTTACCTTTTTATTTATTGTAATTCCCGAGAAGTCAAGGTGGGGTGGGAATCAAGTGCCTGTTTCCTTGGGATATACAATGATTCTGTTTCAATAAAACTATACTTTGGGAGGGTGGCTTGGAATTTTCATCCCCTTCCTTTCTCCCCTTTCCCCGCTCCCTCACACCGGACTGTGCTGTTTCAATTAAATGAGGCATCATAGTGAGAGTAATAGGTATGTTCCTAAATAACTTAATGGCTATATACTTTCTTGCATGCACCCTAGGCAATTTTCTGGACACATTCATCTGACTGGGAGCCAAGGGTAGCACAGGTGTAATCACTGACAGTCCCAGGTAATGGCGTTCCAAAAGCCCATTCACGAGGGGCTATAAGTAGCATAGTTTTCAAGCTTTTTCCCTTATGAATATCTAAGCTCAGGTAAGAGCTTGAGGATGAACCAAAACATGATCTGGTTATATTTTACTGACCAGTAATGCTTCCCACAGCATAGAATGGTGCAGTTTTAAATTTCCAGAGGTAGAACGATAGTGTTTTATACAGTTGATTTGATGCACTGGAGTAGCAAAATCTTATCAGCACATCTGGCTAGAAATTGTACTCAATTCTCATTACTGAACTCCAAATTAAGGCACTACAATCTCTGCTTTTCTCAGCTGATGTCACTTCTCTCTCAACTATTGCCAGGACAGTGCTTTCTGACAATTGAGACTCAGAAGAGTAGGGATACAGTCAATAGAAGAAATGTTCAGACACTTGACAATATGTGATATTGGAAATTACACCTGTTTCACTTCTGGGTCAATGTGCAGTATAAGGTAAATGCAATTCCAGTGTAGGAATGAATCTGCAAAGATGTATGAAATGGCTCAAGGCATAATCAGTCATATTAATATAATTTTAAGAAGTTATTAGAAAAATGAGTGTGTTGCTTGGAAAAAAAAATTAAACAATGTTATTTGAACACTGTTACTGAGTGTATTTAGACTGCAGTACACTAAAACAAGGAACCACTGTCAAGATGTTAGCCTCCAAACTGGATTTCAAAGTCTGCTTATTCTTTTCTGTGGAGTTTTAAACTAACTTAAAAGCGAGAATTGCTGATGCAGTGAAACATTCTGTTGTTGTACGTAATTTGGGCTTGTGGGGAGGGCGGGTGGGGGAAGGTTGTATTTCAATAAAGGCATTTTTTTAAACAACCCACTTGGAGTTTGAAAACACATTAAAAACTAAAACATCTCACTAGGGAGTGAGCCACCCAACTGCTGACTTGCTTTGTACGTTGCTACACCTAGAAGATGTGTAGATTTGTAACTGGGGCCTGCATCTGGTTGCAGGGACAACTGGAGAATGGGTTGATGTCCCTTCTGAAAATGGATATGGTATTTCTAAAAGTTTTAGAATGTATTGACAGTGTTCTTTTTAACAGGCCCTCTTGTAGCTGTACTGTGACAACAATGTTAACTTTGAAAAATAGTGTCATAATAAACTTTATGAACAAGATCTGTATGCAACCTTTTAAGAGATGGAGTGTGTAAGTGACCGCTTTGTAGGTGGGTGGGGTAGCTTAGCTGTTGTTTGTGATGTGGAAAAGTGTGAGCTGTGAGGACAGTGATTAACCGGTTTTAAAGAACCTAGGATGTACTTCTGTGATCCATACTGTGTTAAGGAGACCCATAAGACAGGAAGGACTTCAGCAGCCTTTTGAGTATGGAGAAGTCAGCATAATTAAAGAATGACAAGGCAGCAGGAGCGACAGCTTCAACTTCCAGAAAAGTGAAGGCATAAGATACTGTGCTGATAGTGAGCAGCTTTCCAAAGTCTAGTTAAATCTGCTTGTCACAGCTGAAATATCGAAGAAAGTCTAGCAAGAGTTCTTCACCTTTTGGAACCTCCTTGAGTGATAGCTACTTGAGTTGACTCAAAATCAATAGGTCTAGCATTTAGACCTGAAAGGAAGGGCAATGAGCATAGGTAAGGTTTGCCTTTAACATTTTTCATGAATTAAAGAGTAGTTGGAGGTTTTGAAAACAAGGTAAGAGTAATTTCTTTAATTTTCAGGTTGAATGAGAAGCTGCTGCTTGACAAAATGGGGAATGTCTTGCACATCCTCTTCCATTGAAGGTTTCTGACTGGGTAAGATTGTAGTGCATAGTAAAATGTGTTTTTTGCTTATTTCCTTGTAGGCTTTCCCTGACCAGCCTTTTGATAGCAGGGAAAGCTTTAAGTATAAAGGAGCAAGTGTTCCAAAGAATGCCATCCACTGTTTCTTGTTCTGGATTAGGGGTGTTGGCTGACATAATTGCTGTTCAAGAATCTTCCATTCCTGGCAGGTACAATAATGCTATGTCAGAGATCAACAAAATAGCAATGATAAATGGTTATAAATATGTGCTCTGATTACCGTTAGGAGTGCACTTCCTCTTTTTTGAGAACATGTTCTTGAAACTCAGGTGACACAGAAGGGCTCGGATATGTAAGCTGTTCCTCACAGTCCAAAGTAGTTCTGTGTTATCCTGAAGCTCTAACTGACATTAAGACATTCTGCGTTTATGTGATCAATGATTTTCCTTCCCAATAAATGCCTTGCCATACCAAGCAGGTTGTACTTAAACACAGAGTTCCCTTTCAGATGTTTTGGTTCTTTCAGGGTAGGTTTGTGGAGACTAATATTTTAAAGTGATACCCAGCTGAAAGCACCGCTCTATATGGATGAATAGCAATGAAATTAATTCATGGATTTTATTTATTTATGGTGGGTTTTTTTTTTTTTTTTTTTGCATGTGGGTTCTTAACTCTTGGAACGTGTATTTCCTATTCTGCTGTATCCCAGCACTATCCCGTACCTGTAAGAGTCTATAATGTAAAAAGTCCTTTGGATAGTAGTTAACTGTCGGAACTTCTCAATACCTCTTTGCATCTTTGCAGTATTTTTGAAAAGTCTGTTTCTGTTTTTGTGCTCAACTTACTCAGAACAAGACAAATGGAATACATGCAGTTCAGGACTTGGCCATATTGCAGACTGATTCCAGTAGCTGAACTTGCTAGCAGCTGTCTGAACAGCTAGAAAACAAACTTCATGTTGGAACACATACAATCAGAGGTTAACTTGAAGTATTTTTACAATGGTAATGTGCAAATTTCATATAATCAGGAGATACATAGTGAATGGAAATCTCATAGTGAGTATATACTTAAATAAAGTGTTGACAAATGTTTTTACTTAGGGGTGAGCCAGAATTAAACCTGCTGCAGTGAGATCACAGGCTCCTTAGTATAGCACACTAGGTAGCTTGTTGTAGGTGACTTGCTTGCTATCTTACCTAGAGGTGAAAAGCACCTTAGTTTTCTCTCTGCTATGCAGTGTTGTCCTTGTGAGCTGATGCAGTCACTCAGTGCCACAAGTCGCCAGGGAAAGCATTCATGTGCTCAGTTTGTACAAAGGTATTTGTCCATTGGGGGAAGGTGGCAATTTTTTAAAAGGAAAGATCTTGGAAAAATGGGTAAGTTCTACTGAACAAAAATTTCTAGCTTGCATTGCAGTACTCAGTACAGCAGCCTAGTAAAGCTTTACCCCTCCATACTGTGGTCTTTAGGTTTTTTTGCACCAAGCGTGTGCAAAGATATTCCTTGAGCTATGTTTGCAGTTGGTTTTGTAGCATTCCTATTAGATTGATTGGCTTCAGTTACACATACCTCATTGGTTGTTTTTTTGTTTGTTTTGTTTTTCTTTCAGAAATAAAACTTCTCAAAGATGATCAAATCCTTAAGGCATATTTGATCAAGCATTTTTTTGCCCAAGAGACACACTTCCAAGAGTTAAGGACATTATTTTTCTCTAGCAGCTGTAAATGGAGATGTAAGGATGTGAAAATAAAGTTGCAAAGTATTGCAGTTCTGTAGAAACTTATTAAATACCTCAAACTGTGTGTTAACTCAAAAGCCATTTGTCCTTCCAGGTAGTAAACGTATTTGCCCAGAATGAGCCCAGGCTGATGCAGATGCGATAAATTGTTTGTTATTAGACAATACCGAAACACCATGGCATCTTAACTTTGATATCCTTTGAATATTTTACTATGGGAATGGGAATGCTCCTCCTCTTCCAAGTGTTGCTTGTGTGATGTACTGACGTACTGGTTTTGCTTCCTGTATTTAAGCCATTAACTTTTATTCACAGACTGTCTGCATTACAACGGAGCATTCACATATCAGTCTGTGATCTCTGACAAATATTTGTATCTTGTGTGAAGCATGAAAGATCTTGAGTATCACTAAAATGCAGATATCTGATGGATGGATTCTTTTTCTGCTGTGGGTGCTACAGGTTGACATCTGTCTAAGATTAGCTTTTTCCTCATCTAAAAATCCAACTATCTCCGTAGAAGAAAAATGACCTTCATGTAGAAGACAATACTGGAAGATTGGAAACAGAATAATATATTAAAATAACTGGCAAAGACTTCAAGAGCAATGGTGCTAGTATGGTGATATCTGATCCTTGTGGTTAAACAAGTTCAAAAAGCATGGAAGTGAAAAATTTCAGTATAGTCCATAATGGATTGAAATGTTAAAACACTTCATTTTTGTATCAAAATAAAGTGTATGTTGTCAAATGACTCACAATCTTAAATGTGTTGCCCTCACTTTTGTTTAGTGCTGAGAGGAGTACGAAGTAAACTTAATGTACTGCAATGCAGTGGTGGGATCGTTGTTCAAACCAGAGTCTGCAAGTCAGAAGTTAATTCGCTTAGATTCAACTCAGCTCCTGAGCTTTAGTTATAATGGCTTTGCAGTGGAATGATTTGATCAAGAAACAAAAGGTCTCCATGTGGAGGCTTGTCAGCATGTGAGGTCAGAATTGCGATGCATGAGGGTTTACATGATGTGGCAGCGCCACTGGTCGTTCCCAGGTTTGGGAGCACATCCTGTACCTTGGTTATGATCATAAAATGAAAGACTTGCGACCTAATATTTTCACGTAGACTTGAATGATCTAATGCAGAACATTTCTCCCTTAATGTTGTTAGTTGTAAGCACAAATGCCATTGTGATCGTGATGGGGACAGTTTGGCTTTGTACTGAATGCATGTTGTGGTCTGAGTTACTTCAGACTGACTTTGCCAGCGGAATTCAAACAAGGTTTCTACATTAACTGTGTTCTTTTTATTGCACTTCATCATATTTTTTATCTTGGTAATGGAGTAAGCAAGCCTGTATCACAGCAGACCCTGCAGAGGCTGTAAGAATGTTTGTCTTAGACTTTTGCATTAGTGCTAAATAAGTACCAAATTAAAATGCAGGGCAGGGGCTTATCATGGACTGCTTTATACCCAAATTGTGATTAAAATACCAGTGTTTCATCTAGAGAGAATGTTTTCTTTTCAAGCCCTTGATAACCTAGATAATGGGAGGGGGGTAGGAGAGAGGAAAGGGGAGGCAAGCATCTTACTGTACTGTACTGTTAGATGTACCTGTATTAGAGCTACTGTGTATCACTATTGAATGACAGCTCAGGGCCGTAGCTTAGTATGATCTTTTTACTAGTGCTTATACTTTAAAATTGCCATTCTCAGTAATGCTTTAGATCACCTTGCTTTAAATGGTTCCAAAGTCTCATGTTCCTCTAGTGTTTCAGACAGCTTCAATGACTCCTATGGAAGTTTTCCTTCCTTGGCAGTACTGCATTCAAATTCAATACAGGCATACTGAACAGCAGTTGCAAGAAAAATAGCCCATGCTACTGTGATATCTTTGGTTTAGTTTACCTGGTGACTGACCGCTCTATCTAGAGCAAATAAACCTGCTTAATCTGTCAATCCTGGCTTTCAGGTTTTGAGCCATTGGTATTGACAATTTGCTCAACAAAGTGATGTCCTCTTGCCTTCAGAGTAAGTCAAGGACTCTGCAGGGGGATGGACTCGTGCTATTAACATAAAATTTGGTAAACGAGGTAAGTGCAAGTCAAGTCACCTGGATTTCTATTCACCAACAAATAGCCTCTGCAGAAACAAACATCTCTACTCAATGTGAAGGGCAGTACTCCTAGCGTTTCCAAGACTCTCGCAGATCTTGGGAGCAGCTGAGCTTAGAACGTCTTTCCTTTTTTTCCCTCCTGTCTCCTTGTGTGAGCTGCAATTGTTGCAGTGCTTATGTGCAAGAATTGGCTGCTTTGTTGCACCAGTTTTCTGAAGAGGGAAAGACCCAAATCACTGTGTAACAAACCACAGTTCAGCATATGGTTGGGAACAAGCAGCCATGTGCAGACAGTGGAGAAGACGAAGAGGGAAACTTTTGACCGTCCTTCCACTTTTGGTAGCAGTGAGCTGACAAATCAGCCCAGGCTGTTTTAAGGATCTGCATCACTACAGGAAATGGCCACAAGAAATCTGTGGTTGGGCCAGACCTCTCCAGATTTACCTTACTATGAGGACTAGTAGTGCAAATGAGAGCACCTTGCCAGCAGGATTCTCTTGGTACAGTTTCTCAAGGCTTAATAGCTTGTATTCTGTCAGAAGAAAAAAAGAGACATGCCTGTGGGGATAATCTCTGTTACTCTTCAGCTGTGTTAGATAAGATTGAAAGTTAGGATAGTATTTTTCCAGCACTAGATACTGACCTGCTCACAGCTGCTTTTGAGAATGCGTTATTTATAGAAAAGGGAAGAATAATTGTAAGAGTGGAAACTACCGTTCTTGCTCAAGGGCTACTCTTCCTATTGACTGCAGCTATGATGGTTCTGATTTTTACCAGCACAAGTGCAATCCTTGTTTCCTAGCATAACGTTTAGACTTATTTAGCTATATGAAATGCATTTGATGTGGTTCTAAAAGCAGAAACAGTTTTCACAGCATTAAGGTGAATATCCTGACTTTAAAAAAAAAAAAAAAAAAAGTAAGAAATAAGTTGAAATTGAAATTGTCTTGTACTTATTGGCCTGTACTTATTGACTCCTGCTGACTTCACTGTATCTGCTGCCTCAGACACAAACACCTGTAGGGCAGGACCAAACTTTGGAAAGTAAGTAACAAGCTTGAGAAGTTGTGTGAAACCATTACCTGTGCTCTAGTTCTTTATGGGTAGGCACCTGGAGTCTCTGTCAGCTGGAGACTGTCTCCTGGTACTGGTACTTGGCTGCACTCTTTCCAATAGGATATAATCAATAGGAGCAGGGTTCCTAGCATCATCCAGCCCTGGGATACAACTACCTTCTTGGTAAAGCTGTTGGAACAGATCTGCTTTCCTACTCCTGGCTCTTCTCTGGTTAGCTAACATCACACTTCAGCTGAAGCACAATAGAGACTGTGTGCATGTTGGCACCAGGTAGCAGAAAGGCCTCTGCTATGCAGAATCTGTAAATAAGATAACAGAGGGTGAATGACCGGCTCACAAAGCGTAGATACAAAATTTTGGGGAGTAATGAAAACAAAAGCTGATAACAAAGGATTACTCTGCTATTATTACTGTGACTAAGTGGACAATAAAATGCTTGTTAAATTTAGTGCATTCAAGGAAAAGTCAAGCAGACAGCTACACCACAGTTGGTCCTAAACTAGTTATTAATATTCAGGAAAGGGAGCTTACAGAGCCTCCGGAGTTGTATGAGAACAGTGGAGAACAAGTGGAAGAAAGGAGAAGCTCCACAGCATCCCCTGATAGAGAAGCACTAATCAAAACCAGGGCTTTCTGTCCTAGCCCCCTACCCTTCCTCTTTTGGAACACGAGCCCTGCCCACTGCAGTTGCAGTTTCACAACACTTTCACGTGGGAAACAAGGCTGATTGCCAAAAGCTCTTCAACTTAAAAATTAGTTTCTTTTTAGAGAAATGTTCAATAGGTCTAGCAAAACTTGCAGAATGGCTCAATGCTTAGCGTACTAAACAAATGTATGCATGGTAACAAAATATACCTAAACTAATCCTGAAACAGCCCCAGTGGCAGAAAAAACATTTCAAACGTTCCTTTTAGAAGTTCCACAGGGAAGGTGATACAGCTTTTAACATTCATCTCAACGTCTATTTCAAATTATGCCTTTTCAGTATTTAGAAAGATCCATAATGATCAAGTACAATGAGTCCAGTGGAGGAGTAAGTGAAACACTGTGGTTTATTTGCCCAATTTTTCATCTCTTGTAACTCATAACTTCAAACATCACAACATTTTTTCAACAAACTGAGCACAGGTTCCAAAGAGTGCATTGCTCTGCCCTTGGGATATCTTTTTCCATGACTTCAAACAGCACAGCAGTGACAAATGATGCCTGCTGATCAGTCAGAGATGCATAATGAATTTCTAGAAAAATTACTGAAAGGTATACAGAATTTATTAGTTGGAAAAATACATAATGCTGACACTTTTTAATTAACAGATTCTAATGCCTTTGGAGGAGATCTCATCATGAGCTTATAGTGTTCTGAGAGCAAAACAAATTATATGAACTTAGCATAGGCTTGAAACAAATTTGTTACACAATCCTTCCACATGGTAGTTAAAGTTACGGTGAACATCAATAATGCTGACAGTGCTGTGCAATACATCTCTGCTTGTTAAGTGTATTTGTTGCATGAAGACTTATCTTGGAAAACCAGTGAGGATATCTGGATCGGCACTTAACCTACTGTAGGGAAATAAATGCCTATGGCATGAAAAATAACAACAACAACAACAACAAGTTTAATGAAATGGTAAGATGAATCAAAATCAAACAATGAGTATCAGCTTGACACTAAATTAAAACCATACATTAAATATAAAGCATTTATAAAAATTGGAAACAAACACTATTGCATTTTTTTCTTTTACAAAAAAAGTAAGAAGCCATACTGTTTATCTTGCAAGAAATTAGATTTAGGAGGCTAGAATTATTCTTATATATCAAATCTATGAATATAACAGGAGATAAGAACAGTATATAAATACGGTATCTTTAAATATTTACATGTATGGAAACTAGTTAAAATGGTGCTAAAAGAAGGAAATGCCTGTTATAAAAGTGAGATTACAAATTTTGCATACATACATCTGCATTACACAATTAGTTTTGAACTTGCACCTTTCATAAACTTAAATATTAATTTTCAAATCACCATTGCATAGAATTACTTGAAAAATATTACCTAATTCTGCATTCCACCTCACAGTAAAAGCTATTAACGATACAAAAATAGTAACTCGGGGAACACCAGCCAGCCGTGCTGCTCTTCAAAGTTTAGTCTCTGCCTTTCTGCTTTTAGGAACAAGGAAGATATTGCCATCTCTAGTTTGCTGCAGTGAGTATTCACTAGGAGAGTAAGACTTTCCATCTTCATCACGTAGCATGCTGAAGACCTCAACATATAAGGTGGTTAATTGCTTTTTCATTTGACGAAGGCTTTTGTCATTCTCTCCTTTTTCTTTAAGCAATTTCTCTCTCTCATCTTTTAGGTGACTCAAATCGTGCTCCAGTTCCACTATATTTTCCAGTTTTCTCTTACGGCAGTTCTGAGCGGCCACTTTATTCTTGCCTCTCCTGCGTATATCTCGAATAAGTGCAAGCTGGGCTTCGCTGAACTGCTCCTTAGACATCATTTCATTGAAGTCATCAACAGGGAGATTGATGATTTTTTCTACCGGAAAAGGGATCTGCAGAGCTTTT